CCTCGGTGTCCAAGCCCGCAGCCGGCAAGCTGGCCCCCGCTGAGAGCTCCGCTGCCGAAGCCCCCGCTGCCGAGGCCCCCGCTGCCGAGGCCGTCGCGGCCGAGGCCCCCGCGGCAGCAGCCGCGGCCGCCGCCGCCGCCGCCGCCGCCGCCGCCGCCGCGCTACTGCCTCCCGCCGGCTGCTTGCCTCTCTTGTTGCGGCCTTTGGCCGGTCGTGGCGGAGGCACGGCTCGCCCCTCCTCCTAACTTATTACGTAATCAATTAGTTAATTAGTTAATTAAGGCGGAGGCACGGCTCGCCCCTCCTCCTCGGCGATCAGCTCCTCGGCCAGCTGCTGCCGCCTCGCCTCCGCCTCGCGCCTTTTCGCCTGTGCCTAAGCGAGCGAAAACAAAAGCCGAAGCTGTGGGCACGCATCTTTCCTGGCCCCCGAGGCCGGCCGGCTGGTGCACAGGGGCGCTAAGGCTGGGCAAGGGGCGCAGTGCGCACCTCTTTGTCTAAGTTGTCCAGCATCGGACGTATGCCCTCAACCATGGACTGAACTCGCTCGTTGGCGATGCGCCCATCGGGTCCGATCAGCATGGAGAAGGCGGCAGCGAGCGGGGCTAACACCTCCGCCTCCTTTTCCCGGCGCGCCCGAATCTTGTCGCGCGCTCGCCTCAGCGCAGTGCCGGCGAGAGGGTCGTCGTGGCTGAGTTCCTCGGGAGGGACATGCAACGAGTTGCTGCAGCCTTCGAAGCCCATTCGAATGCAATAGCCCTCATCGTCGCCCTTGAAGTCCGCGAGGACGTAATCATTATCGGGTCCGAGCACTCTTCCTCTGCAACCGTGCTGCAACTCGTCGCCACATGGAAAAACCTCGGTGTCGCCGGTGTAGTAGAGTGTCTCTCCCACTGTGAAGCGCCCGGCCAGTAAGACCGGAGGAGGCGCGCGGCACAGCTCGGACAAGGGCCAATCGTCATCATGGCCAAAGCGCACGATCCTTGAGTGACCATCGAAGAGCACGTCGTAACATTCGCCCTCGGGGTCGCAGTGCACAACGCCTCGCTGGCCGTACTCGAGCATCATCGTACTCGAGCGGAGTCCGACGTAGTACACGGTCTCGCCGCGACGAAAGCGCGCCACCGCCTGCGACACCTGCGAAAGCGGCATATCTAGCTGTGGAAGCCGGGTTTTTTCTTCTTCGCTCGTTCTATTCGTTGAAACTTCTTTCTCCCCGCTACCCGTGCACATCACCTTTTATTGTAGGTATGTTGTTGGCAACTCAGGATACACACAGAGCTCAGAAAAAATTAAAGGCGTGCGCCGTGCGGCAAGATTCGAGTCGCCGCCGGCCGTTGGGCGCATTCCCGTCACCCTGAGAAAAAAAAATGCGCGCAAAGTAGATGCAAAACGCGGCGCACCCTGGACGAGGGCTGACTAAGGCGGAGCCGCGCTCTCTCGCACCTCCTCTCCGCGTCCTCTCGCACCGCCCGCCATGCAAGCCGCGCCCGGGCCGGCGGGCGGGCGGCGGGTCGTCCTCGTCCCCAATGGCGAGTATGACCCTCGCATCGCGATGCGGATGGTCTACGGAGCGCCATACAAAGAGGTCGTGCGAGCAATCGGCAGCAAGCTAGCCTTGATTTCAGGAAGCCAGGCGAGTATCGATGACGCACAACTCGAGCGCGCGCGATTCTATCTGAAGGACGGCTCGATGGTCACCGACTTTGACGTCCTAGAAAAGGACGACCTGCTCTTTGTCGCCTTTGCCGGCCAACCGTTCATTCCGAGGGGACCCCCAGCCCCGCCGCGGCACCGGCCTCCGACGCACGTGCTGCCCCCTCCGGGTGTGGCGCCGCCGAACCGGAGGTTCGTCAAGGACCGGAAGGAGCAGGTGGAGCGGCAGAAGTATCAGGAGGAGGAGGCGCTCGCCGGGAACCGGATCATTGAGGGCGCTGCACTCGACCTGAAGGGGGGGGCGGCGGGGGCGGCGGGGCCCGGGTATGGGGTGGCCGGGGCGGGCCCCGCGGTCGGGATCATGTCGCGGGGCGGCGTGGGCGGGCTGGCGACGGACGGTCCTGCGAGTCGCGCCTTTGGGTCGAGCGGCGGCGCGGACAAGTCGCTGGTCGAGCGCGCAAAGGGGTGCATGTGCATCAAGGACAGCAGCAAGGAGTCGCGAGGCCTCTCCTCCGACGGAAAGGACGACCAGGGCAAGGTGAGCGAGGGGCCGATGCTGTGGAAGTCGGCCGCGCTGGCGGTGCTCGTCATCATGGCGTGCGCCGCTGCGTGGATGCTTCTCGACGCCGCCGTCGCCGCCGTGACGACTCGCTTCACCGCGCCGAGCTGCGAGCAGCTCGGCTCGCCCGCCGGCTGCAAGCCGCTGCCGCGCGGCTGCCACCCGCCGCCGCCGTGGATGCTTCCGCTCCTCGAGAGCGCGGCGGAGGAGGCTCTCGAGCGGATGCCGACGCCGCCCTTCCCGCCCGCCGCCGCCGACACCACCCTCCCGCTCGATGAGCGCTCGTGGCACGACGAGCTGCTCTGGGCGCACTCGGGCGAGCGGCTCTCGCTGCGCCGCGCGGCAGTGCAGTCCCTCTCCTACCAGGAGAGCCCCCTCGCAAACTCGTCGGGCCCCTTGATCGAGCTGGGCGCGTGCTGGGCCGCCTCCGCCTCGCGCGCACAGCTCGTCCCGGACGGACTCGTGTTCCGCTTCTACGGCATCAGCGCCCTCCTCGCCGCCGAGTACGCCGTCCTCCCCTCCACCGGCCACGACGAGCTCGGCGAGTTCGCCTTCGGACGGCGCCGAGCGCTGGCGGCGCGGCCGGCCGGCGGCGGTGCTGCGGCGGCCGGCAGCGCGGCCGGCGGCGGCGGTGCTGCGGCGGCCAGCGGCGCGGCCGGCAGCGGCGCTGTGGCAGGCAGGCGGCGGCCTCTGTGGCTGAGCAGAGGCGGCGGGTCGTCGGAGAGCGGTTTGCTGTCTCGGTGGGCGCAGCCGCGCGGCGCGGAGCTTCCTGCGGAGGGCGGGGAGGGCGGCGGTCCTTGCACCACACCGTCTTGCTGGGCGGAGTGGGGGGCGATCGAGCTCGAGGCGTCGGGCGGCCTCTACCTCGACCACATCCCGCTCGTCGACCGCGGCCGCGCCGGTGTCAACGTCAGCGGCTGCTCGGGCGCCTTTGAGGCGGCGGCGGCCAACGCGACCCGGGCGGGCGGCGGGGGGGAGGAGTACGGCGGCAGAGTGGAGGCGTCTGCGGCACGGAGCAGCCTCGCTTCGTCGGTCGCGCCGCTGCTCTGCGACTGGATCAGCGCGACGAACATGAGCGGCGACCCGCTGCGAGACGCGGCGACGAGCGCCTTTCTCGCCGCCAACCCGGCGGAGGCGTGGGCGGACGAGGCGGGGCACGGACGCATCGGCGCCGGGGGTGCGGAGGCGGGCGGGGCGTCCGCCCGCCGCCAGCTGGCTGCGGGCGGCGGGGCGGGGAGGGGCGTGGAGGGGGCGGGGCGGGGTGTTGAGGGGGCGGGGAGGGGCGGGGAGGGGGCGGGGCGGTCGCTGGCGTACGAGGCCGAGTACGACCAGGTGCAGCGCGTTGTCGCGGGCAGCAACGACCGCGCGATCGACAACTTGGGGCTCGGTGCCTCTTCCGGCGGCGCCTACCTCGCCGGCGCGGGCGCGAGCGGGCCGTGGCGCGGGATGAGGCGCGAGATGGACGCCTCGCTCGATGCGGTGATGCCGCTGCTGCTCGCAAAGGCAGACTATATCACGCGAGTCCTGTGCGTGCTCGTCGGCTTCGTCGCCTTCTTGACCGCCGGCGTCGTCCTGACGTTTTGCCGCTGCGGCGCCGCAGACAACTACCAGGTTGGCGCCGGGAGCTGCTGCTGCCTGAAGATCGAAGGGTATGAGTCGGCGAGCGGCGGCGCGTGCTGTTGCGTC